CGAGACTCCATCTCAAAATAATAATAATAATAATAATAATAATAATAAAATAATAAAATAAGGGTTTCTTTTAGGTCAGAGATGCTATCTGGTTCTCCAACCATTAATTACAGCCCTAAACTTGTCGTTTATTTTCTATTAGTTCTCCAGTGCAGTGAGAATAGGACAGCACATCCCATGGTCCTTGTAGTCTTAGTTTTCATCATAATTTTCCATTGCAATAGCTGCTTGGTTCCCCAAAGCTACTTGGTTTCCTTTCTTCTACAGATACTTGACTCCATAACACTATGTATGAGAACTCGTAACACTGCTAGTAAGAACTCAGAAGGAAGTGTGCAGCATGAGAGAGAAAACATATATTGTCTTAGAGAATACTATATCTAAGTCATCGAGAACAGACTGGAGATAGAAAAATGGTCATTAAGGGCATTGCCAATGAATGCTCAGAAGGAAATGAGGAACATGTCACTGGAAACTAGAGGCCAGGGAATCCCTGTTATATAGTAACAGAAAATTTGTCTGAATTAGGTGTTGCAGTTATGTGGAATACAAAACTTACAAATGATAAACTTAAGACATTTAGTTGAGGAAATTTCCAAGCAAAGCGTTGAAGGTGTAGTCTGGTTTCTTACTGTTTATAGTAAATATGAGAGGAAAAAGAAAGATTGGTGGAGAACTGGTGAGCAAAGAGGAATAAGGACGTGATAATTCAGGAAATTCTCAGCCTATGCAGACTACAAAAGAGACTAAATTTAAGAGAGTTGCTGTCAGTTAAGTGTGTTCTGCACAGAAAGCCAAGGTTGCAGAGCTGGATCGATTTTCACTAGTTCCTTGGAAAGATCAAAAGGTCAGGGTCAAAAATAAATTTGAAGATGTTATGCTGCTGTCTTTAAAGAATGGGCTGGCTGGGCACAGTGGCTCACGCCTGTAAAACTAACACTTTGAGAGGCTGAGGTGGGCGGATTGCCTGAACTCAGGAGTTCCAGACCAACCTGGGGAACATGGTGAAACCCCATCTCTACTAAAATACAAAAAATTAGCCAGGCATGGCAGCGTGCGCCTGTAGTCCCAGCTGCTTGGGAGACTGAGGCAGGAGAATTGCTTGAACCCACCTAGGAGGCAGAGGTTGCAGTGAGCTGAGATCGAGCCACTATACTCCGGACTGGGCCACTGAGCGAGTCACCGTTTCCAAAAGAAAGAAAGAAAGAAAGAAAGGGCCATGAGCCAAGAAGTGTAAGTGGCTTCTAGAAGCTGGAGGAGGTGAGGAAACAAATTCTCCTCTAGAGCATATAGGAGAAAAATAGTTCTGCTGACACCTTGATTTTACTCCAGTGAAGCCTTTTTTTGGACTTCTGACCTCCAGAACTGTCAGAATAAATTTGTGTTGTTTTCAGAGGCTAAATTTCTGGTAGCTTATTACAGCAGCAATAGCAAACTAATACAGACTTTTGGCACCTAGAAGTGAGGTACTGATGTGACAAACACCTAAAAATGTGGGAATGTCTTTGGAATTGGACAATGGAGAGGCTGAATTTTGAAGAGCATGACAGAAACCAGTAAAAAACCACCAATCAACATATTCAAAAAGTTCACTAAACATCAGGCAGGATTAATACAAAAAAAAATTACATGAGTACATCATAGTTAAAATGTTAAAAACCAATAGGAAAGAGAAAAAGGAACATATTATATTTATATATTATATTTCTCAATATGACCTAAGTCTTGACTTGTCAACAAAAACTGTGAAAGTCACAAGATTATGGAATAATACCTTCAAACATGCTAAAATATAATTATTCTAAGACAAAATTACATCTAAAACAAAAAAGTTGAAGAAAATTATCTCTAATAAAAGCACAGGACTGCTGGAAGGAATGAAGGGCACTAGAAAGAATAAATACAGATGGCAGACAAAAATGAACCAGTGACATAAAAGCAAATCCATTAAACAAATAATGCATACTTTAGACTCAACTACCCAAATGTAAAAAGTAATATCAGTGGCTGAGTCTACGACATTTACACTGGTTAGCATGGTAATATTATTTCTCAAGTATTGGTAACTGAGCAAATTGTCTTGATACATATCAGTGCAGCGGCATGTTCATGGCTCACTGCAGCCTCGAACTCCTGGGCTCAAAAGATCCTCCCACCTCAGCCTTCTGATTAGCTAGGACAGGTGTGTGTCACCACATCCAGCTAAATTTTTAAAAATTATTTTTGTAGAGATGGGGTTTTGCTTTGTTGCCTAGGCTGGTTTCAAACTCCTGGCCTCAAGTGATCCTCTTGACTAAGCCTGTAAAAGTGCTGAGATTATAGGCATGAGTCACCATGCCTGGCCCTTTTAATAAGCTAGAATAAGAGAACTATAAATGTTATGATTCATTGTATTTATATAAACTATTATATTTATGATAAGGAATAGTATTAACTTTTTTGGAAGCAAAATTTGTTTATAAAAGTTTTTGATGTCATCATTAAAATACTTTGCGAGGCTTTTAAACATGTTTTCTTTGGTTTTCGAATGTTATATATTTTAAATGTATGTGATGCACTTGAGACAAAAAAAACAAGAATTTTTTTTTTAAAAAAACAAAGGACTAATTATCATAATATTCAGGATAGTGGCTATCTCAGTGAGGGAAACCAAAGAATGGGGCAAAGAAGGAAATATGATAGATGCAGCAGTACTGAATATTAATCTACCTCGTAAGGTGGGTATCAGGTTTAAAAATTTTCATGTCATTATTATGCATCAAAACTTACACAGTAGAATTTGGGGATAAGTGGTTAAAAAAACTTACATAGTCCTTCATATGTACTAAAAGGTTACTTAACGAAAAATTTAAAAGGACAGAGGTAATGAAATGAGAAAGTTTGATTTACTATTCCTGATCAAATAATTAACAGAGATTTGTAGAAGGAAGTACCTGTTTCATTTCCTGTTCCACAACCATTGTGGATCTGCTGTAAGCCAGGAACTGGCCGTGTTGTCAGATACCAAACTGCATGTAGGACATCTGTGGCATGTATACGATTGTGATCTAAAGTCACCAAAATGTTTTTGTTAGGTTTAACATACAACATTTAAAAACTACAATAATTTCCTAATCATACTATATCCTCATAAAAAAGATGTGACAGAATAATTCCCCACAATTGAATTGTATTTCATCTAAAGTCTCTTGATGTGTTAAAAAAAAAATCTGTTTTAAAAACTTCCCCGTATACTATGAAAACATAGTAAAGGTGCCAAAGAAAAGGCAGGATAACCAAGGAGTATTGAAAGGCATTGGAAAATGTTCTTAAGGTTGCCATTTTGTGGCTTTCAAAAATATCATGTAGTGTCTGGATTACAGAGACTCATGTTTGCACACAAAACAGTTTTGTACACAGAACAGTTACAAATTCTGGTTACTTACATTTTTGTCCCCAACAAAAAGGTCAGAAATACTATGTCTCAGGCTTGCTATAGGAATTAAATGCTAAATATGTGAAAGCATCCAGCACAGTGTCTGACACATCATATATGATCAACAAAACATTAATTTACTGAAATTCAACTATGTGAAAAGGCAATGTGGCATAGTGTAAAGAGTATAGGCTTTAGAAGTCAGATAGACCTGAAACTGAAACAGTACTTTGGTATCTAGTTTTATGATCTTGGGAAAGATCCTTCTGAGTTTACTTCTCACCTATAAAAGTATATAATACAACTTTGCCAAAAAAGATTGAATAAGATAACCTATGTGAATCTAATGATTGCAGTTAACATCAATATCCAATGAAAATTTAACACTTCAACAAATACTTAATGTATATGTATGCATTAGTAGATAATATAATACTGTTTTGCCTATAGAAATGACATGGCGTCCACTGGGAACTTAATTATTATTAATAGATCACCACCTTTTACTGACCATTTACTAAAAATTCTGATATGTGCTTTACATGAATTATATCATTACTACCTATGGAGTAGGTACTATTGTTATTCTCATTCACAAATTTTTGAAGTTTAGAAAAGTTAGGTCCAGAGACTATTTTCTTAACTAATATATCCTAATTGAAACTGACAGTGAAGACTCCTTACCACCTCTTTCTTTTCGTTCCATTTCCCTTGAAGTCCATCTTAAAGCATCCCTATATTCCATTTATAAAATTCAACCACTTTTTTGAATGCACAATTTATAAGTGGAAATTATAGTATATGTAACTCACCTTAAATTATTAAACAGTATTAGTGAGTTATGCCAATTGAAGAATAATTCACTATTTACAGAACTAATTTCTCAAAAATGTGTCCACATGGAGGGAAACTGTAGACAATATATACACAGTCCTACCTTTTTCTAATACAGAACTCAAATTATATTCAAACACAATATGCAATAGCCATTAAATTATTCCATAAGTTGGAATACAGTTAAAAACTGAAATTAGATTATCAATTTTAAACATTTTTAAGTGAATGATTTTCTGAAACTCTTGACTAACTTTTAAAAAGATAAAGTACTCAGGCAATTAATTTTAAAAATAGAAAGATGTATACTATATAACAACCAGGTGAAAAAGCAGATTATAAATATGTATCAATATTATGACCACCTTTACAAAAAATAAATTTATGTAAGAACTCTTGGAGAATATATACCAAAATGTTAACAAAAAACAGACAGACAAAATGTTAACAGTAGTCAGTTAAATCTAGGTAGTACAATACAAATTTTCTTTTTAAATCTCCATTTAAAAATTTTTCAGGCCAGGCACGGCAGCTGACGCCTATAATCCCAGCACTTTGGGAGGCCGAGGCAGGTGGATCACCAGAGATCAGGAGTTCAAGACCAGCCTGGCCAACATGGTGAAACCCCATCTCTACTAAAAATACAAACAATTAGCTGGGCGTGGTGGTGGGCGCCTATAATCCCAGCTACCTGTGAGGGCTGAGACAGAAGAATCACTTGAACCCAGGAGGCGGAAGTTGCAGTGGGCCAAGATCGCACCATTGCACTCCAGCCTGGGTGAGAAGATCAAGACTCTGTCTCAAGAAAAAAAAAATTTTTTTCAAACATGCAGTTTTAAAAGTGTTTAAGGGACCATCTGAAGAGAAAGACGATAAAGAGTTTCAAAACCTACATTATTTGAACTTAAATAATAAGATATGTTAATACTTACAAGGAATGTCTCGATAGCCATTTTCTAATGCACGAAAATAGTTCATAAATTGTTGAGTGGGAATTTTAAATATTTCCAATAAACCAGTGTCTTGAAATAAGGTATACATAACCTAAATGTCAATTAAAATAAAGTTTACTTTAAAAATCAGAATTTCTATTTGTAGCTGAGTATAATGTTTCCGTGATTTGTATTTTGGAATGTTAACCATGTATTAATATATGTCTTTAAGTTAATAATTTATTTAAAACTTGCCTACAATTAATTCTTTCCAAAAAATCAGAATGGAAGATATCACCCTAAAGCCCCTGAAAATTAAAGGCGGCTTACCATACATATCATGTCCCAATTTTTAAATTTTTCCATTCTTTTCCTTAGCTTTTCATTCCTAATTTACTGAAGGTCATGTGAATTCTATTCTAATCTAGTCCTGGGTATTAAAAAAAAGTCAAAACAATACTATGTTTATCACATTTTTATCCCTAAGGACTTCAATGAGATGAACTTATATATCTTTCACAAAATTTATCCTTATGTTTTTGCATTTCATAAATAAGATATTAAAGTAATTAACGAGAGTAATATTTTGGGGCGGTTAATCTGATGCTGTTATGCGGAACCATCAGGTATAACCCTGAGTCTCGGTGGTAAAATCAAAGTATTTTCCATAGTTCTAGCATGAAATGAACCATCTGACCTTGAGTAAAGTATAGGGAGGGCAGGTGGAAAAAATTAAGCTTAAATTTCAGTGGTTAGAACTAGACGATTTTTCATGTTCTTTTCAACCTCAACATTCAAGAAAATGTAAATCTTTATTATTTATTTAGCATAAATTAAATCCCATTAATATGGTCAAATAAACTACTTGTCATATATATAATAGTATGATCTACATCTTATATGTAATTGTTTTATGTATATATTTAATTTTTTCTGAAAAATAACTTAATGAACAATGTCAGTTGAACTAGTGCCTAAACCATTATATAATATTAGATTTTGCTTTTTATAAAGATTTAAGAAAATTTAATTTACAGTTAAAAAGTAGATATTTGAAAGCAAACCTGACTGAGAATCCTTCCTGATTTCTCTCCCATCTTTTCTACAAGTTCAAAAATTGGAAAATTCCAGTTGCTCATCTTCTCTATTAATGAGTCATACTCTTCTACTAAAATCAGGTCCAGTGATACTTCCTGTTCAATCTGTACATACAGAAAAACAACTTTATTGTATCTTTTATAAATACTGTGAAATATACATTAAAATGAGAACACTTAGGATTAAACATTAAAAAAAGTCTGTACTATTTTCTATAATGGTTATTCTTAAATATAGTCTTATCTGCCCTTCTAATTTCTCTTTCTAGAATGTTATCTTCAGACAAACACATAACTCCTGGGTGTAAGACTTATTAATCTTCTTATATTATTTTTATGAGTAAAAGTATTATATTTCCAAATTACTATATAAATCCAAAGTCTATTATTTTCATTTTAGTAGTTACAGGTATCAAAGGGTAAGAGGAAAAAAAAAACATATCCTTATGTTAGCATTTATTACCAGGATAATTTTTCAAAAGAAATAGGTGTTTCTTTTTCCTAAAAGCCTAAATTTTGAAATTTAAGAACAAAACTATATTGCCATTACAAATACATTATTTTCATTGTTTTTAGTAACATGCACATATTCTCTATACCTTCACATATGCAAAAGAAAATATCAGAATAGAAAATAATGTACTTTATATAAAACTAAATAAAATATCTTCATTTAAAACTGAATGCAGTTTGTTGCTTTAGGATGATAGAATTAGAACAAGTTATTGTATTATTTGTAACCCAAGCAATATTTCAGTCATAGTCACTTATCAGTAAAACAATTTAAAAATACTATTACATTAAAAATCTTGTTCTGGGCAAAAGTAATAAAACCAGTACTAACAGTATTATATTTCACCTTAACATAATCATATTGAAAGTTTATCTTTTACATTTGTTTGCTGTTCATTCTGTGCCTCTTCTGTTAGCCAATTATCACCTTCCTGAAATAATTTTCTGCTGTCTTTCTTCTCTGTTTCCTCTTCTTGTTGAGTTTCCATAAGTTTGAATGATTCTTTTGAGAAAATGTTTTCTTCTTCACCTTTCAAAAAATATATATAGTAATAGATAGGAGTAAAATGTGCCCTATATGTACAGTTTTACATGAAAAATAATTGTTAAAAATATTTAGATAAAGTAAATCATAATGGAGTTCAATCTAAATTATTTCATGACACCATTAAGTTGTATCTTGCTGTGCTATTTTGCCTAGATAGCTTATGCTCAGGCAGCAAAGACATTTCCTGTATTGGACTCCCCTTTCATATCTACTCATGGATCCTAAGTGGATATTCTTTATAAAAGTGAGAAAAAGAAAAAGTTCCTATCAATAGAAATTTTCTTACCAATTTGATGTAAACAATTTCTAACATCTCTGAGTTTTAGATATAAAAATTCTAAAATCATAATTACAAATCAGTAAGATTAAATCACATGTAAACCTTAAACCACAATATTATAAATTGTGAGTTGTATCTCTACCAATGTAATAACTTTTTTTCTCAAATCACATGGAAAAGGACAGCAGTATTCATAGCTAAATAGTATTCATTCACATGTTAAAAAACATTCATATTCATTCTATTTGTAATACCTTAAACAGGGAAATTACTCAGAACCTATCGACAGTAGAATAAATAACTTGTGGTATAGTTACACAATTGATCACTACAGAGCAAAGAGAATGAACTACAATACGAATGGTACTTAAAAATATAATGTTCAGTGAAGGAAGCCAGGCACAAAAGTACATACTCTGTGATTCTCTTTAAGAAAAGTTCAAAAGCGTATGAAAGACAAAAAGATCATTACCTTTGGGGCATATGATTGGAAGGGGTCATGATGGGTAATTTTGAGGTGTAGGTAATATTTTGTTTCTTTTTAAATAAACAACTTTTATCTTAGGTTCAGGGGTACATGTGCAGGTTTGTTATATAGGTAAATTTGTGTCATGGAGTTTGTTGTACAGATTATTTCATCACCCAGGTACTAGGTCTAGTACCCAATTACTATTTTTTTCTGATTCTCTTCCTCCTCCCACCCTCCACCATCAGGTAGGACCCAGTATCTGTTGTTCTCCTCTTTATGTGCATGAGTTCCAGTCATTCAGCTCCCACTTATAAGTGACAGTACTTGGTTTTCTGTTCCTATGTTAGTTTGACTCCAGCTCCATCCATGCCTCTGCAAAAAACATTACCTCAGTCTTTTTATAGCTGCATAGTATTCTATGATGTATATATACTACATCTTCTTCTTTGCCTTTTCTTTTAGAAAAACTACCATAATCATTTATTACTTGTTCTACTATGGACATATAAGATAGAGCCCAAACTATACAGTAAAATAGAATCTGGACTCAAGTCTGAATACTACTATAGAAACGAGCCCTAGCCTCACTACTTCACTAGCTGTGATTTTTTTCATTTTATTTATTTATTTTTTAAGTTTAGTGGTATAAGTGCAGGTTTGTTACATAGGTAAGCATGTAACAAGGGGGTTTGTTGTACAGGTTGTTTCATTACTCAGGTATTAAGCCTAGTACCCATTAGTTGTCTTCCTGATCCTCTCCCTCCTCTGAGAGGCCCCAGTGTGTGTTGCTCCCCTCTACGTGTCCATGTGTTCTCATCATTTAGCTCTCACTTATAAGTGAGAACATAACAATATTTGGTTTTCTGTTCCTGTGGCTAAGGATAATGGCCTCCAGTTCCATTCATGTCCCTGCAAAGGACACAATCTCTTTCTTTTTATGGCTGCATAGTTCCATGGTGTATATGTACTATATTTTCTTTATCCACTCTATCACTGGTGGATATTTAGGTTGATTCCATGTCTTTTCTATTGTGAATAGTGCTGCAATATACATACACATGCATGTGTCTTTATAACAGAATGACTTATATTCCTTTGGATATATACCCAGTAATGGGATTGCTGGGTCGGATGGTATTTCTGTTTTTAGGTCTTTGAGGAATCACCACACTGCATACCACAATGACTGAACTAATTTACACTCCCACCAACAGTGTACAAGTGTTTTTTTCTCCCCAACATCGCCAGCATCTGTTATTTTTTGCCTTTTTAATAGCAGCCATTCTGACTGGTGTTAGATGGTGTTTCATTGTGGTTTTGACTTGCATTTCGCTAACGATCAATGATGTTGAGCTGTTTTTCATATGACTGTTGGCCATATGTATGTCTTCTTTCACAAATTGTCTGTTCATGTCCTTTGCCCACATTTTATGTTTGTTTTTTCTTGTAAATTTAAGTTTCTTGTAGGTGCTGGATATTAGGCCTTTATCAGATGCATAGTTTACAAAAATTTTCTCCCTTTCTGTAGGTTGTCTGTTTATTCTGTTGATAGTTTACTTTGCTGTACAAAAGCTCTTTAGTATAATTATATTCGCATTTGTCAAGTTTTGTTTTTGTTATGATTGCTTTTGGCATCTTTGTCATGAAATCTTTGCCAGTATCTATATCCAGAATGGTATTGCCTCAGTTGTCTTTCAGAGTTTTTATAGTTTTGGGTTTTACATTTAAGTCTTTAAATGATCTTTAGTTGATTTTTGTATATGATGTAAGGAAGGGATCCAGTTTTAATCTTCTACATATGGCTAGCCAGTTATCCCATCACCATTTATTGAATAGGCAGTCCTTTCCCCATTGCTTGTTTTTGTCAGCTTTGTCAAAGATCAAATGGTTGTAGGCATGCGCCCTTATTTCTGGGCTCTCTATTCTGTCCCATTGGTCTATGTGTCTGTTTCTGTACCAGTACCATGTTATTTTGTTACTGTAGTTCTGTAGTATACTTTGAAATCAGGTAATATGATGTCTCCAGCTTTGTTCTTTTTGCTTAGCATTGCCTTGGCTACTCAGGCTCTTTTTTGGTTCCATATGAATTTTAAAATAGCTTTTTCTGTTTTGTGATGAATTTCACTGGTAGTTTGTCAGGAATAACACTGAATCTATAAATTGCTTTGAGCAGTATGACCATTTTAATGATATTGATTCTTCCTATCCATGAGCACGGAATGTTTTTCCATTTGTTTGTGTCATCTCTGCTTTATTTGGGCAGTGTTTTGTAATTCTCATTGTAGAGGTCTTTAATCTCCCTGATTAGCTGTATTCCTAGGTATTTTATTATGTTTTTTGTGGCAATTGTAAATGGGATTGTGTTCCTGGTTTGGCTCTTGGTTTGGCTGTGTTAGTGTATAGGAATGCTAGTTATTCCTGTTCATTGATTTTGTATCCTGAAACTCTGCTGAAGTTACTTATTAGCTTAAGCAGCCTTTGGGCCAAGACTATGGGGTTTTCTAGATATAGAATCATGTCTGCAAACAGGAATAGTTTGACCTCCTCTCTTCCTATTTGGGTGCCCTTTATTTCTTTCTCTTGCCTGATTTCTGTGGTCAAGACTTCCAAGACTATGTGAATAGGAGTGCTGAGAGAGGGCATCTTTGTCTTGTGCCCATTTTCAAGGGGAATGCTTCCAGTTTTTGCCCTTTCAGTATGATGCTGGGCTGTGGGTTTCTCCTAGATGGTTCTTATTACTTTGAGGTATATTCCTGTAATACCTAGTTTATTGAGTTTTTAACATGAAGGGATGTTGAATTTTATCAAAAGCCTTTTTCTGCATCTATTGAGATAATCATGTGGTTTTTGTCTTTAGTTCTGTTTATGTGATGAATCACATTGACTGATTTGCATATGTTGAACTGACCTTGCATCCCAGGGATGATCATAGTGGATTAGCTTTTAGATGTGCTGCTGGATTTGGTTTGCAAGTATTTTGTTGAGGATTTTTGCATCAATTTTCATCAAGGATATTGGCCCGAGGTTTTGTTTTTTTCTTGTGTCTCTGCTACATTTTGGTATCAGAATGATGCTGGTCTCATAGAATGGGTTGGGGAGGAGTCCTTCCTCCTCATTTTTTTGTAATACTTTCAGTCCTTCCTCTTCAGTTTTTTGTACCACTACTTTCAGTATAAATAATACCAGCTCTTCTCTGTACATCTGGTAGGATTTGGCTGTGAATCCATCTGGTCCTGGCCTTTTTTTTTTTTTTTTTTTTTGCGGGGGGGTTGGTGGGCTATTTATTACAGATTCCGTATTTGTCTATTCAGGGAATCCATGTCTTCCTGGTTCAGTCTTGGGAGGGGTTATGCATACAGGAATTTATCCATCTCTTCTAGGTTATCTAGTCTGTGTGTAAAGAGGTGTTCATAGTAGTCTCTGATGGTTGTATTTCTGTGGGGTCAGTGGCACCACCCCCTTTGTCATTTCTAATTGTGTTTATTTGGGTCTTCTCTCTTTTCTTCTGTATTTGTCTAGTTAGCAGTCTATTTATCTTACTAATTTTTTTCAAAAAATCAACTCCTGGTTTCATTCATCTTTTGGATGGTGTTTTTGTGTCTCAATCACTTTTAGTTCAGCTCTGATTTTGGCTATTTCTTGTTTTCTGTCAGCCTTGGGGTTGGTTTGCTCTCTCTTCTCTAGTTATTTTAGTGGTGATATCAGGTTGTTAATTTGGGATCTCTCTAACTTTTTGATATGGGTGTTTAGTGCTATAAATTTCCTTCTTAACTCTGCCTTAGCTGTGTCCCAGAGATTTTGTAGGTTGTATCTTTGTTCTCATTCGTATTAAAAACCTTCTTGATTTCTGCCTTAATTTCATTATTTGCCCAAAAGTCATTCAGGAGCAGGTTGTCTAATTTCCATGTAATTGCATGGTTTTGATTGATTTTTTTTTAGTCTTGATTTCTATCTTTATTGCACTGTGGTCCAGGAGTATGTTTGGCATGACTTCAGTTCTTTTACATTTGCTGAGGATTGTCTGATTGATTTTAGAACATGTACCATGTGGTAATGAGAAAAATGTACATTCTGTTGTTTTTGGGTGGAGAGTTCTGTAGAGGTCTATCAGATCTATTTGGTCCCATATTGAGTTCAGGTACTGAATATCTTTGTTAATTTTCTGCCTCAGTGATCTAATACTGCCCAGTGGAGTGTTGAAGTCTCCCACTATTATTGTGTACTGAATATCTT